GTAGCCAGAATGATGAGTAGATCTCGAGCCAGTCGAGTGAGAACAGGCCACTCGTGTTGATGGTCTTTCCAGTAAGCGCATGGCGAAGTATTGACAACCCCTGTTGCGTGTCAGTAGTCAGCAGAAAGTATAGTGAGCAGTTGTTCAGACCTTCGCGAAGATATTGATCAACTTCATCTTGCCCACTCCTTGAACTACCCGCCAGACCAGCTAGTGGATGCAGAAGCCGGTCGAGCCCCAATAACTGCGGAGAGCAAGACAGTCCATTCACACAAGACAAGCTCGTGGGCATTTGCGGCCGATACTGTAGGTGAAAGATCCTCAGATATTCAATGTAGCGCTCGGGATGGCCCAAGCCTTGCGATGACGACGCGCCATCGAATGCGGACACTTTATATTGGGGCGCAGCGAAAGTTCCAGTGCCATACATGACCCCAAAGTCCTGAAATGTCTTTTCGTAGACTTCTCCAAGTTCCATCTTCATGGCAAGCGACGCCTCAAGTAGTGTCCGTTTCCATGGAGCTGATTTTCTTCTCAATATTTCAGCTGACTCGTTGATATGCTTCATTAGTATCTTGAACACGAAACAGACTTTAGGGACTGTCGCCTCTTTCGAGGCCAGGAGGGCCGTCGTGAACTGAATGAATGGCATCGTCAGCTGCACAAGGTAGTCGACCTTGCGCCAGTCCGTGTTTGTTAATTTGTACTGTAATCTAGGTGACGGTAAAATTGCCGACTCGGAATTCTTTTCCATAGTAGAAGATATCAGAATGGCAACGACTGATATGTTAAATATCGACAAGATATTTGGCTAGCTGTAGCGGAAAAGGTTGAACCTGGATATCCTGTTACTGCCTGTACAGTGTATGCCATAAACAAGTCTTCGCATCTACTAATAACGTACAGTTAGGTAGCTGGACTATTCCTCAGTAATTCAAGTGGTGAAACTAAATTCGAACGAGTCTTTATCTGTAGTCGGAGAGAGCTCGGTCTTCTCGCGGTATATATAGCTCGAGAAGTACAGGTTGCGTGTTATTGCCAAGGGTTCCCCGGGCCCGAAGTGTGGGGTTAGTAAGGACATCACGGTTCGTTACGACAAGCCGATAGGATCGATATTAGCGTGGATAGCCACCAGATGAAGTCGTGAAGAGAGGCCAGTCACCATAGCGTACCAACCGATGCAAATCAAGAGACACATAGGAAAATTGGGTGGCAAGTGCGAAGTAGCGAAAGCATACCGAGACACCATGAAGTGGAATTCCCCAAATCGTGATCAGCACGCTCCAGGTGACTGACGAGATTTTGAGGTTTTTTACATTAAATAGATAATCGGCGCGTCTAGACTGGGAAAATAGGGAGTAAGCATGGCTAGGGCTGTTGTTCACTGGTCAACACGGTGCCTCTGACATCATTACTCGACTATAATATCTAAGTATCCGCTCGTGTGGTTCCGGGGTGGAGCCTGTCTCAGCCAATAAGTGAAATAAGGTTTAGCAGAACCACAAAAAGGGGGAACAGAAACAAAAGACAAGATATTGCTGGACGAGTGAACCTTGCGAGGTTATAGTGATTTGTAGATCAGGGGCGATGCTTACTGACATTCAGTGGAAGACTGGTATTATGTCTTTTCCCCTACAGAGTAAGGTACGCCCTTTAGTGGTGACCTTTAGCACTCAAGAGAGACAGCGTGTGTAAGGTTTGGTCGCAACAGAACACACCCCGCGATAGAAACCATGGGAGAAAAAACAATGATCCGCCACACTTAGCTGTAGTGCAATTTTAGCCGCAATTCCAGCCACGGAAAAGCTTCGAGTTAAAACATGCGCCCGGATCTTTCCATTCGTAAAGGGGATTTAATCCTGCTTCCACGGAATGTCTGGCAAGATCCTGTCATTTCGATCTGTGGAGCTGAACAAAGTCACTCTCAACGCACCAGTCTCGACAGAGAGTAGAGGATATCACACAATTGTGAATATCATTGGAAAGCACAGCTATTCAGCCCACCCCGATTTATTGTCAGCCAAGAAACATTCCTCTTCAGCGTGGTACGTCAAACTACCCCCTTCGTCTCCTCCCAGGACATGTTTTCCTGCGAAAAATAGCAAAGCTTGGTGAATCTTCCTGTCTCCTTCCACGGCTCACTTAAAGCAGTCGGGATGCCGCCACTATCAGAGGGGATCTACGCCAGATCCACGGCACCATCAAGTCGAGCAGTTGAACTTATTATCGTTTCGTCCATCTTCACGGCGCTGGCTATTCTCTTTTGTGGAATGCGATTATACACTCGGAGGGTACTTGTCAAGATAGTGGGGGTGGACGATTGGATTGTTACGATAGCAACGGTATGGCTTTTCGGGTTGGTATGAGAATTGTGGCTGACAGGAAAAGATCCTCAGTTTCTTCCAAACCATTGTTAATACCCTCGGTAACTGTCACCCTTGTCACCCAATTGTCGAAGCTGCGATGTATCATGCTGACCCAGGCCTCATTGCTAGCCACGAGATATGGTCTTGGATACAGGGACAACGCCTTCCCACCGAGCTATTCACCGACCTCAATAGGCAAAGTATGGAAATTGGAACCACCTCTTGAGCGCACGTTTATTCACCTTTATTAATTGATCCGTCAGGTCCAATATACTTTTTACGCCATTAACTTATCGACGCTTGGCCTTTGCCGGATTTCCATGCTCGTGACCTACCTGAAATTGGACATCGCTTGGAGTCGACGGTTCGCTCAAGTCTTGATCGGCTTTAATGTTCTCCTTTCACTCGCTGCACTTGGCATCTCTCTGTTTCGATGTCGTCCTATTCACAACGCGTGGGATTTGACCAAAGAGAATGCTGCAGGCTGCATGCCACACTTCAATGACTTTCAGATTGGTCTGCTTGCATCAAATGCAGTTCAGGAAATCATAATCATCGTGCTTCCGATCCCAGTTATCTGGTCGATCCACCGACTCAGAGCGCAAAGGATTGTAATCATCCTCCTGTTTAGTTGTGGAATCTTGTTAGTATCACTGTTTTAAGTCTTAAACTCTAGAAGAAGCTAACCACAGAACTCAGCACTTTGGCAGCAAGTGTTGCCCGCCTTATAGTAGCAATATTAGCAAATGACGTGGACGTAAACTATCTGCGTGAGTCCCTCCAGGCACCTCATCTGAGTTATGGATCACACACTAACTAGCGCCGCGAGAAGACTACATTGTTATCGCTGTGATTATGGCGTGCATCGAATCAAATATGGGAATCGTGTGCACTTGCGCGCCTCATTTAAGGCCATTGGCCCGAAAGATGTGTCCGGATTATTTTTCTTTTACACGAAGCCACACCGACAGCCGGCCATATACCGACCCAAACTATCAGTTAGGTAGGGTTACAGGAGTGAACAAAAGTGCCAGCTTGGGTTCGCGAGAGGTAGAAATTCCGTCGGATTTCGAGTCAGAAGAGAACCATGGAGCGTCGTCCACAGAGCATATCATCCCGGTTTAGCAGGAGGGTATTGTCCCATGGGAAGCATAGACTATTTTTTTATCATGCAACTACGCTTGGAAGGATCTCTTGTGCAAGAGACCCCGCAAATTTCATTTTTAATATGTCCTTCCTCCTGGGAAAATGTCGGAGACCCTCGGAATCAATACTGTACAATTGGGCTGGTCGTACGCGTAAAATGATATTCCAAACGCAAAGATGCTCTGAGACAGTCTTCAATCACAGACATCCCAACGGTGGAGTTTATATGACAGAAAAGATTGGGATAGATAGACAGCAATTAAGTTTATTGTGTTGAAATATCTGACTATGGAGGTTCTCTTGGCAAGAAGTTTTGTCATTGAAATGAGGTGTTTTAATTCTAACTCCCTGAAGAGGTACTTCTACAGCTATTTGTAGTAGTAAAAATACAATAAGCGAGAGTGCGACGGACATGCAAGAGTTCCATGGTACAAAACATCTAATAAGCCCTATATGGTCGTTGCGCATGAATTCAGAGATGCTGAGGCCTCAGGCTCACTGAGCCAATATCTCAACATATTGCTCTTGCCAGGCACTACGAGTTGCGAAGGATAGTGCGGTCATGAGCATAGAATCCGACAGAGTTCCCAAATACATCTTTGATCGTCCGAGTTCAGGATCGATTGGATCTAGCATCCTCGATTTCCTTTTCCTCGTCCTATTCCGCCCAATTGCGCAGGGTATTGGGCAGTACTCATCACCGGGTACACCTCTAGAGCTACCACAAATAGAGAGGCCAGCGAACTTCGTTGTCTTCCTCGTGGTCGTTGCACTCTGTGCTAGCACAACCCGGTCGTGCGAGGACCATCCCTCCACGCTGACCAATATTGCCAACCTCGCGTCGACGTATACGAACCAGGGCCGGTGGCAGGAGGCCGAGCAGCTCGAGGTACCGGCGATAGAGACTCGTAATATGAAGCTCGGCGAGAACCATCCAGACACGCTCATCAGTACGGCTAATCTCGCTTCTACCTGGGAATCTTTAGCCCACGATGCTGCAGCCATCAATTTGCTACGAGATTGCTTAACCAAGCGGAAGCAAAGAATCGACCTGAAAATCCGATTACTCTATCTAGTTTTGAAACATTGTTGGAATGGGGAACGAAGGGGCCAAATATCTATGCCTAGATAAGCTAGATAGTTGAATATTGTCGTAATTCAGAGGAATGAGCAGTTCAACTTAATACTTCTGAGGGATTACAAGAGACTATGCACAATGCGAGGTCTAAGCTGATTGGAAATCATCTTTTCTTCGTATATATCGTGCAGGAATTGTTTCCGACGATGCGGCTTGGTCCCTAATCTGCACCAGCCTTAATTGTATGGGCCTGATGTAAAATGTTTCATCTTTTCTGGATATCCAAAGACCACTAGCAACAGTAAATATGGAAGGAGGCTGAGCCTTCACGAAGTGGGAGTTGATGGGCGAGTCGACGCCACGACGGGCAGCAAATATGCCTTTTAAGACAAATGATATTTTTGGTTCAATTACTCGTTACCCCTCCTGCGCCAGTCGCTGGATGCTAAGGCCTTGTTCGATTCCGCCATGTTTTCAGAACGGGGGCTATTTGAACCCAAGTAATTCCCATTGTACACACGGCGACCGTATCTGACATCAGTATGACGATTAACCAGCGTTCTAGGTATGTCCCCCGCCAGCGCTACCTTTAGCTTGCCCTCCGCAATGGGCCTGCCGTTCAGTGCCTTCATCGCTGCTTTTGTCTCCTCCTTGGTCTCGAAGTCAATGAAGCAGTAGTGATGGTTGCCTGGCATAGATCTTGTGCTCTTGTGTGGCGTGATCCGTTTGCCAATCGCCGTCCTAGTATACACATCCTAATTAGTAAAGGTATGATACGGCGTAGTAATGGAAGGGTTCCACACGGGCTGAAGCCAGCGAAAAGATCGGTGATCTCTCGGTTGTGTTGGGCTTGGTTAATCATCTTGCCCAACCCACCGACATAGAGCCTCCGCGCCTCGTGGCTCTGTATCATGTCATCAAAGTGATCCAGGGCCCAGTAGGGACCCTGTTCGATCCCCTTGCCACTGATTTGGCCAATGGTAATCTCGCTAGTGGCGCTCCAATCGCCCCATCGCCGGAAAGCAAAGCTGTCCTGGCGGTTGTAATGGCGATCGCCCTGCTTCTTGGGCTCGCATGGGCCTACCCTTATAGGCCGTCCGCTAATGGTTGCGCTCAAGGAACTAAGGGCATGGTCGGCAGTCGATCGGTCGGTGAAGTCGACGAAACAGTAGCCTGGGTTCCGTGCGCTGACGGGATCGATAGAGATGTGGATATTTTCTAAGTGGCCGAAGCCATTGGTGGCGAGCACTTCCTCGATTTCGTATGGTTTTGTATTGTAGGGTAGGTTACCTGTACTCAAAAAGTTAGCCTAGCGAAGAGCAGAGTCATCGGTAGATGGTCGCAACCTAGATAGATACGTCTGCCTGCAGACAAGGCATCTGGTTGGCTTTCGGGAGCTTGTTCCATGACCAATTTATTTATTGTGCGAAGAAATTATACTGCCATTTAGTAACCCTTGCACATCGCAACGGAATTTTTTGCGCAGTTTCCATCGACGAAGTCGTGAATAGAACCTGGAAACCGAGAGGTGCAAGTGTCGGAATTGTGGATCTATGTAATTAAGATAATCCGGATTTGTCATCCTGGATATTAGTCAGCGCATGGCATTTTGCGTGTGCTGGGAAGGTAGAAAATGGGACAGACTGTTACACGGTCGAGAACACACCATTGGTTGACGACAATACGTCTGGTTACGTGATCAGAGACCAAGTGAAGACAGCCCATCGACGCCTGTCGCAGGATATCACTCTCTTCTTTACTACACATCAATGGCTGACCCCAGCTTCCCAGATTACAGAACTCTTTATCTGCAGGCGGAAGAGAGACGGTGTCAGGAAGCAGAAGGGAGGCGGCAGGCGGAAGAGCGCGAGAAGCGAGAAGCAGAAGGGAGGCGGCGGGCAGAAGAGCGCGAGAAGCAAGAAGCAGAAGGGAGGCGGCAGGCGGAAGAGCGCGAGAAGCGAGAAGCAGAAGGGAGGCGGCGGGCAGAAGAGCGCGAGAAGCAAGAAGCAGAAGGGAGGCGGCAGGCAGAAGAGCACAATAGACCGACTACTTTCACGGAGCTCATTCAGCACTGCCATGTCCTTCTCTCCCGATCGCTGAGAATCGATTCACCATCCCGCTCAACAGCTGGGAAAATACCTCTTCCCACCGGAAAATACTGCCCGACTCGATTGGAACATTGGACCGACTGCCCAGAACAGCTCTTAGAGATCTACAGGTCCGTCTGTCAACATCTTCAGCCCGAGCCAGGAAAGGCACCACGTCTATTTTCGTCTGTGGCTGAAATAGAAGGGCTCGGTCGTCGATTTGCTCGCAAACCACTTAGTAGCGAGCAAGAACTTGAGGCCTACGAGCGATTTGGCGTGGAGGAACATGTCCACGATATAATCATCGAGCTGTGCAAACTGCCAGCTGCTCGTGAGGAATTCGGGCTCGGTGATGGAATCCAGTTCAGCAATCATACGAATTCCTTGAACGAGAACGACCCCGTTGAAGCTGACGCAAGCCAACTGCCGAGCACAAGTCACCCACGACCTGACCAGTTTTGCATAAATCGTGTCGACGGTAACTCCACCACCGTCCTGACGACGGTCGAGTACAAGCCACCTCACAAGTTGTCTGTTGCAACCTTGCGCATGGGACTACGACCAATGGACCTATGGAATGATATGGTCAGATCCAATAAAATACCTACCGACCAGGAAGCAAAGTTGAAGCACAGTGCAGAGCGGCTCGTCTGCTCCGCCATTGTGCAAGAATACCATGTGATGATTCAGGAAGGACTCGAATATTCATATGTGACAAATGGGCTTACCCGTGTTCTCCTCCGTATTCCGCGTGACCAGCCTAGCACGGTCTATTACTTTTTCTGTGATCCTCACAGCGAAGTAAACCCGGAAAGCGATACGGTTGTCCAGCTATGGAAGTCCTCTGTTGCGAGGGTGTTGTGTCTTTGTTTGATGGCATTTCGCTCCCCCATCCGTGAGCAAGAATGGAGAAATCGAGTGCGCCCAAATCTTCACAAATGGAAGACAAACTTCGATCACACGCGTTCGCAGATTCCGAGAAGCGAGCTACAGCAAATCTCCCACTCCGATAGCACGAACCCTGATTTTCCAAGTCCGGAGTCTGGTACATCCTATGGACTACCATCGTCGTCTCCGCTGCCGTCTCCCTCGGAGGGCCGTCGAGTGCATACACGATCTCAAACCACTTGTGCACCCTCAGAGATTCGACCGCGCTCGCAATCACCGGACTCGTCCGGCTCTGACGCCGATCAAGCAGCTGGCCATAAGCGGAGGATCAGCCAAGTAACGCCTTCACCGTCCGCTCGACGATCAAGTCGCCAGCAAACGACTGGGCCTAACCAAGACGACCATCATCGACGCCGTGCCGCGCAATTCTGCACGCAACGATGTCTGCTCGGTTTGCAGAACGGGGATGTTCTTGATGAGTCGTGTCCCAATGTAGGCCATCATCGCCGGGGCAGGAACCTCGCGGCTCAGCATTTAATCTCGGCCACGGACATGATACTTTTACTGAAAAATGAGTTGGACGAGAATATAGATCGTTGCATCCCCCTGGGGGGTTGCGGCTCATACGGTGCCCCATTCAAACTTACCTGCATGGAATACGGTTACACGGTCATCGGTAAAGGCACCACGTCAGGATTATGGGAAGAAGTTTCCCGCGAAGCGCAGGTTTATCGAGTGCTGCGCAAGGCCCAAGGATCCGCTGTACCTGTATTCTTGGGTACGATCGACCTGGCAAAAATCTATTTTCTTCATGGCGCTGGAGAAATCTGCCACATGCTCATAATGGGCTGGGGAGGCGAATGCACAGCGACGATGGAGCTGACGCAGTGGCTTCGCCGCGAGATACACAAATCGAACAAGGAAATTAGAGCCCTTGGTATAACACATGACGACCTGCGGCTAGACAATGTCCTTTGGAGTGAAGAGCTTGGCCGTGCTTTGATCATTGACTTCCATCGCTCTACTTTGAAATGTCGACCGGCTTTACAACGGTCGGGGGCAGCCAAACGACGACGACTATGTCAAACAGAGGCAGGAGATGCAAAACGTTTTCGTATCTCTTGACAACGGGATTTTCTTCTGATCTGTTGAATTAGCGATCTTATATATGATACCCAGATTTTCAATCTCATCCAGTCATTCTAAGTACTGTACAATAGAGCGAATCACAAATTTTAAACCTCGGACTGAATTCTTTCAAATTAGAATAAGAGAAACAACGACACTGAAGTTCTCACTGAATTTGATTAGGCATCTGCCATGGTCTTCCTTTGATTTTACGTCAGCCTATACATATGCGCCCTGAGTGCTCGATACGTATCATCTATAGTCCTAATTACGGCGAGGAGCACGACAAGAGGAAACCGAAGTCGGAATGCGGGCAAGAGCGGTAGACGTGGTAGATGAAACAGCCTTTCCAAGCACACCCTTGGTAAGATCAGGAATAGTTGACTTGATGGCTGCCAAGGCACTGAATGTAGGTGTTCCGGTGCATGGTGGCTCACCTTCGCGAAGAAGATGATCCATTTGGCCATTGTGCTCCACAATGCTTCCTGGCTGAGGAAACCGAATGTCCACGTTCTCTTTGGTGACGCAGCCATTTATGTTGGCGATGAACATGGGTGGAAAATTAGGCATTTGCTTTTGTATGCTCTTGTGGCATTGTTGCGACGAGGCACCAGACACGGTGACTGGGGCACAGTTCATATACATTTCACGATTCCCAATACGATTGAACCACGTCCAGGCTAACGTATATTTTCCGGGGTTAATGCCTTCGGGGATTGCGAAATCGAGGTGAAGGGCATTGTCGGCAGTGGCGTCTCCAGCGAGTTTCTCTGCCTTTGTGGGGCAGCCTCCTTCATAGGACTTGATGACCTTCCATTCAGAATCTTTGGTTGGCTCACGGTCTTCGGTCAGGCTCAGTTGGCATGAGCCGCCACCGTGTGTCGCGCTTCCCTTGAACCTGATTATGTTTTCAATGCCGATCTGGTAGACAGTCTCTGTTGAAGGAGCCAAGAATGCATCTGTGCGTAGTTTACAGGGAAAATCGCTACCATGTTCAGCGAGAGGAGAGTTGTTGAGGGTTTCCTTGCTGTAGGGCTCAGGGTACATCATGATCAGATGTGCGCTGACCGCCCGTAAGACGATCGCCTCCAACAGTAGGATATATCTAATGAGCATCATAACGGTGGCAGGTTAGCTTGATCTTCGCTATAATGGAGCACCACTTGACGGATCGAATCCCTTGTAGAGGTCTAAGAATTTGGAAGCCGGGGAGACGATTGATTTATAAAAGATAAGAGGCAAAACACATAACCCACGCTGGTGGCTCATCAGAATCACTGTGAAAAGAAAGCTGATGTAAGTGAATCAAAAGTGTGCTCAGAATAGTGATGCCGCATATAAGTGCTTGTTCGAAGCTCATAAGTCCGATAGATTAGTGAGTTGAAAGCGAAAACTCATCACATATCTGAAACTTTGGTCAATATTGGCAAGTGCATGTGTTAACCGGATGGTGCGGCTTTGTTCGTAGTCTGCTCCAGGTTCATATCACAACATGATGAAATGAGCACATTAGGAATGCAAATTCCAGTTTGGCGCCGATACTTTTCGCTCCTATGAGTTGGACTGACAGTGTACTGGTGAGTCAATTTAACGATATTGGAGGGCTCAATTGTAATTCACCGGAGTCAACGAAGCTAGAGGGAAACGTGAAATCAGACCACACAGTAGTATAATGATCACAGGGTTCGAGTCTACTGTGTATGAGATTCTAGAAATCTTGGAATCAACGCTTGTTGTAGGAATATCTGAGATGCTGTTGACAGCGTTTGCGCTAGAGGCATCATAAATGTAGTCTGTATTGACGCAGCTTTCTGCGTCTTACTTACTTGCATCTTGATCATGCCAGGATCATGGCCAATGCCAAAGTACACATGCCCAATTGGCTTTATTTAGAAGTCCATGGCTAATTATGGTCTACTTTCAGTTCAAATTGAGCCTAGGAGATTCTGTCGTTCTCAATAAATTTCTACGCAGCGCTGGTTCTCTACAAGCTCCTTGAAAATACATCGACCATAACCAATCTCAGCCGGTAATATGTCTCGGAAACATAGAAAACCACTTCCCCCGTTGTTGCCGGCTCAACCTTTTCCTGAGCTACATGTTCAGCATGATGATATAATATTCTCAACCGTCAAGCCGCCGACCGTAGCGACCGATCCTTTCTATTATCTGGACTCACTGGTCCTGCCAAACTGGTCCAACCTCGATGACAGCATATGGAAGGCTAACCGCACTGACGCTGCTTTGCTGCAATGTGACAATCGGGCAGAGCATGGAGTCATCCAGGTCTACTACTGTTCCCCT